GGGGGGGGGGGGGAAGGCAGCCTAGTTGGGCTGCTTTCCCACCCCCCACATGATCTAGCACTGCAGATGGTGAAGCAGCCCAGGTGGGCTGCCTTCCATACCAGTGCAATCTAGCGCTGGGGATGGGAAGTCAGCCCAACTGTTAAACTGGGCTGACTTCCCAGCCCCAGTGAAACCTGTTTTGATGGATCGCAACAGAACAGCTGTTTCTACTTGAAATGAAATTTGATACGAAACGCTGTTCTGTCAAGCCATTGAAACTCAAGGCTAAATGGAACAGTGCCGTTTTGCACAGCCCTAGTAACAGTAAGTATTGCTGCTGATTACCATGGAGCCCTTAGATACACTAGGGTAATTTGGTGTACTAACTGCCTAGTGAAGAGACTCACAAGCAACCATCAGGCCATTTGGATTAAATATGCTTTGAGCAAAACAAGCCCCCTTCACCCTTTCAGACTCTGCTGGTGCAGCCCCAGAATGAATGGGAATCATGGAACTAATAATTACCAAGATCCTCCCAGTGCAGTCCTCCACTGCATAGTTGACCTGTCTTACCTACTTTAAGAAGAAGCCATATTTGCAAGGTAGCATTTTACTGGTGAAGAGAGCACTACACGCATTCTGGAATTCATCTGCATGCTAATCTGGCCAGTAGCAACATAGCAGTTTCCTATGGCCAGTCCAATCCTAACAGATTTCTCAAAGTAAGTCTTCCTGACTGCATACTACCTGTCAGCCAAAATTAGACATATGAGCATTGGCAACCATAGGGCTGATATAGAAAAGCAAACATAACTGTACTTAACAAGAATCAGAACTTCACAATCTATGATCAGTACAAGTACTTTGCCAAGCAGGGTGCCCTTTGGTCCAACAAGCAGTGCTGAAGAAAGATTAATGAGTAAAGCATCCAGTCTTGCAAAGAAAAGGACAATGATTTCTGGGGTCAGGTGAAAAACTTACCAATATATAGAGGAGGTGGACTAACCACTCACCAGTCACCTTCCACAAAACCTGATGTGTGGCTGAAGAGAAGTTAGTTGGTTTTTTAAATGTTCCCCTTGCACCAACAGCCATCCAGCTGGGGCTAGCACAAGCAGAAAACTGGTGAGTTGTACCTGGTGCTCAGAGTGGTCAAAATGTGCTGGGGTCACCCACCCTGGGGACATGAGGGGGTATTGGTTTGAAGCCAGCACCACCCCCAGCAGAGTTCCAGAGGGTTGAAAGTTTGCTCATGGAAGAAAGGAGTGGGAAGGCTAGGAATAGTGCATCCTGGGATGCTGGAGGAATGACAAATCAAAGGTGACCCTCACTTGAACTGGCATAACTTTAAAATATTTAAAGGGTACGTAGCACAGGTTAACACCCTTTAATGCATTCATTCTGGTGTGCAATAACCACACCCCACAACAGAACCATCACCATTCCTGGATCTTACACCTGTACCTCCAGAAATACTCTCTCTCTCATCCCATGCACCAAATGCCCTGATGGAAAATATGTAGGAGAAACCAAACAATAACTGTGCCCCAGAATGATAGATTTTTGGTGTGCATTCAGAGATAAAAATACCCAACTACCTGTGGGGGAACACTTCACATAAGACAACCACTCCCTCTCCGATCTCTCAGTTCTAATCCTCAAACAGAACTTACAAAACACCTTTCATAGACGAGCCTGCAAACTTCACTTCATAAATCTACGGGTTCCAAAAATCATGGATTCCATATAGACATTGGATTTATGACACTTTACAACCTGCCTGACATCTGATTCACCAGATACCTGCCAGACCTGACCTCTTACACTTTTCTTCCCCCCCACACCTTCCTCCTCTCCCCTTCTTTTCTGCCCTTTGTCTTCCTAATTTCCAGCTATTTACTTTTTCACAGTCAGCCTCTTTTCTACCTTGCATTATTACTACTGTAGTATAGAGTCTCCCTTACTCAACTTTGGGTTTATTTTTCCCCCTCCCTTCCCTGCCCTATCTTTTGTTTTCCCAATTTCCACCTATTTACATTCTCACTGACATCCTGTCACACTTTTAGCTTCTTTCAATTCCTTGGTCTCAGAACAGCAGAGACTTCTTATGCCTGAAGAAGGGTGATTGCGTCCAGAAACTTGCCAAGAGCGTTTTTTCCAACTACTCAGTTGGTCTAATAAAAGATATCCCATCTACTCAAAGAACCTTGCCTGTTGTTAGATCAGGAAGCAGGAGCTATTAGTTTGGTGAACTGGGGCCTTTTCTGCAACACTGCAGGACACTAACCATGGGGCTGGCTCTATTCTCTTCCTGTTGCTCATCCACCATACACGGCTGAGACTCACAGAATGGGGCACACTACTAGGACCTAAACTGCATTGCAGTGTTGCATTGTGCCTACATAGCAGACATCCATTACTTGGATTTATATTGAAACTCTGGCATTATCTCTAAAATGGATGCAAGACAGATCTTTGTTATAAAAACCCGAACTGCTGATTTCATTGAGCTGCATAGCAGGATGCCTATTATATTTTAAAAGATTTGAGCTTGTGCTGCCTTTATGTAAAACTGGTAAATTCAGATGGGCCAGAATCTTAAAACACCTTTGGCGGCTCCTTCTGTCATGTTGATCTATTGTTATAATGCCACTCTGCTATCACAACAATGGCTTTGCCTCAAAAAAAACAAAAAAAAAACCAAAAAAAAAAACCTGCTTAAGTCTGTTCCTCTAACCAATTAAATTCTAAGAGCACTGCAACACCAATCTGGATCAACCTAAAATAAGCTTTGTGTATCAAATATTTAATACCCCAAAAATCTCTTCTTGAGGCTATATCCAGAAGCATAATCCCCTGCCTGCCCTGTCATCTCCACAGACAGGTTGGGGTAAATATATTCTTGTCCTAATATACCTCACTTCTTACATATCAAGATGCTTGCCAGTGGTTAATGCAAGTAAACAGCAGCTGCAATGACTTATTTAAAGAGCAGATCAAGAAATCTCAACCCACTTTGGAAATTTCAAAAGACGCTGAATGCTACCAATATCCTTCAATAAAGTTAGTTTCTGATGTGGCATCTACCTCAGGGAAACTCCACCCAATTGCCTCCAGGCAGCAATCTGCAGCCTTCAAGCAGGAGTTATGATTCTGTTGGAACTTTGTGGTGGGGGCTCTGCAAGAAGACCCGTCAGTACCAACTTACAGAGCAGACAACTTTTCCACTGAGGAAAGTCTTCACAATGCAAGGGAAGGTTTTAGACTTTCCTCTCCAACCTTCCAAGAAGCCTTTATGACCCATGAACATTAACTGGAGCAAACAACCATGGCAAGTTAACATACAGAGGTGGGCAATGCCTTATCACAATCCTAAATGGTCTACTTTAAACTAAAAATAAAATTCTTTAAAAAGGCTCAAAAAAAGGCTAATTGCATAAACCTGCCAATCTGTAGCACGTGGAAAATGTGAAAGACAGGTGGAGAAAGCAACTGGCTGTTGGTTAATAGTCTCAACTCAACATAAGTAAAAGTTTTTTGTTTGTTTGTTTGTTTTTAAATAAAACAGTAGCACCCAACTCAACAGGTTCCTCTTCCAAAGGCAACTTGTCTCCACATAATACAGTCAGAAGATGGCTCCCCTCAAGGCTTAACTCCTGAAAGCCGATTCTGTGTTAGCCTGCTACTGGACACTGCTGAAATGGACAAAAGTGACAAGCCTGGAGATAGCAAATGCTGTTCCCAAATTCTGCCTTGATGGCAGCAAAGAACAAATATGCAGAGCAGCGGTGGGGTGGAGATCTCTCGAAGCATTGGGTATATGGAAGAATGAGACTTGTGGAGCCTACTCAGCAGATAGTTACCCAAATCCACCAGTTTCTTTTCCCTTGACTGAAGCAAAGCACTCAAGAACTTTGCTTCTAAAGAAGAGCAGCAGAGACTGGTGTTCGCAGAGCATGACCTCCACCCACTTAGAGCCCCCCATTTGACTCTTAGAAACTGCCTCTTTTCCACCAGGCTCCTTCTCCCGCTGGGGGAAGGTCCCTGGATTTCAAGTCTCTCAAAAGGTGATCTTTTGTGGTTTCCACTGGCTAGTTTCTGAAGAGATAGACTCTTGTTGCTATGGTAATAGGAAGCAAAAATCAATGCTTCAAGTACAAGGCTCTGGGAGGAGTGTTGTTCTGAAGTCACTGATTTGTTATCATGAATCCCAGGTGATTCTGCGGGGAGAGAACAGCAGGATTAACTCACAAGTGGGGAAGCCCCAGGCCAGGTGTTACTGGCTATACATTATTAGTTTTATTACTATTATTAGTGGAGATAACTGAAAGAACTTGAACATCACCATCTACCTCGGAGCTAGGCCCTTGGAAAAACATCTGTGTAGTAAAACAGGTATTAGAGAAATTCCAGTTGAGCCCATATACTTCAAAGCATTTATTTTTTTCAGTAAGTAGAATGTGTCATCAAAATAGCCCAATGCCTTGGCTCCAAATGGCCATTTCCC